TAATTACTGCAACCAAATAATTTAGTCCCGTATACGAAATATACAATACACTTAAAACTACTCGACTAAATGTTTGGTAATTGTCACCAAGTACTTCTTTCAGTGTACTTGTTTCACTTTAATGGCGCAACCTGGTTCAGTTAAAATAAAAGAAAGACCTCGCTGTTATTCGCGGAGGCACGTCATCTCGCACGTCCCATACGAGTCCTCGCGCGGATTACGCACTCCGACGCAAGAAATATTCGAGCAATTACGCCGGTTGTGTTAGAACTTTCCAGCGGAATTATGCGCGAGGGTGGGGCCCCCTCTTTCTTTTCTTTTTATCCTTCCTCGCGGGAATAAAGAGGAGGAGATGCCGGGGTCAGCGGCGTGTAAAATAAACGTTCCTAAGGAGATTACGATCGTCTACTCGGTCGTCCGCGTTTGCGCGCAAACAATACGTTCCTTTTCGTTTCAGCCATTCTTGCCTATCCAGGCTTAAACCACGAATCGAAGCGAGCCTCGCGCCTTCCGGCAGAACGCGTGTCCCGCGGCGGGAATTAATTCCGCGTTAGGAATTACTCCGGGAAAACTCCGCGTGTAACCTCCCCGCGCAAGAAACATTAAATCCTGCTTCAAACTCTTCCCGCCTCTTATTCCCACCGGTGGTGCCGTGCAGCCGGGAAATAGTGGCGTTCTCAATTTTATATAACGCTTCTCGTGCCAAGCCAACCGCTGAAAATGAAGTAATCGTTCGCCGAATGGCGAGTATTAGTTTAATCTTTAATCTCCCGCAACACCGAGACGGAGTTTCGCAACTTCCGTTGCGAAAGCGTTCGATAGATGCTCCGTTAAAAATAATATACGCGGACGCGCGCGATCCCCTTTCGAGCCCTTTTTTTCCGAGCTACCCCGAGGTACGCGAGGTGAAACTTGAGGCGCTGAAATCGAGTTTCGACGGGGTGGGAGAAGAAATGTGAAATTAATAAAAATAATAAATCTTCATAATTTCGGAATATATGCGATGACCCTATTCGGTCCCTCGGGGCGGGCACGTGACGGGTCTGAAATTCACCGAAAATTTGCGGCAAAAATGTTCTGAAAATATACATATATTTATATCAATCCCCCGTCCACGCCCGCTCGCGCTTTGATCGCGCATCAACAATGGGCGGCGGCGGGGCGCGCGCGTCATCATTTTACCATTCATAACGTGAATCTTGATTAATTAATCCCTAACTCGATTTTCATTTTCCCCGTTTTTCATTTTTCTCCTGCGCGACTTAATTTGGCGGCGTCCGAACAATGCCCGGCCCTGTCGAAAAAGCTGACGCGGTACAACGACTCTTTAGTGGCGGAAAAATAATCCCCGAACGTAATTCTTGCTGAACGACATGTGCGCACACATATCATACGCATTTCAACTGTAAAATTAAACGTTATCACCGGTAACGCGCACGGATTTAGATGTGAGATGCGCAAGAATCTTTCCTAACTCCGGTGTAGATTTTTATGTCGCGATATATTTCACTCGATTCATCGCGTCGAAGAGTTATCGCGACGGACGGTTTAGGGAATAAGCGGGTCTTTATTCGATCGTAATCTTTACGAGGTAGCAACAAGTTGGTGATATATTCTACACAAAAATCTCACTTTGTCTCTGTTCTCTCCTCAAAGCCGTCGCGAAGCCATTCCTGATTTTCTAAACTGTTTATTGTTTTCTAATCTTTAAAGTAGATTTTCTTCCTTCTCGGCCGCGTCGAGCACACGTTTACTACTTTAGTCACGAATAGTGTGGAAGCAACTCTATTTTAATCTTTTAATCGTCGGTTAATTCCACGTAATTATAAATATAAATATTTTACATAATTATTTTAGCAACGTTTCATCAGTCTTTGAGTACATCGCAGTTTTGGATTTTAATTTACCGTAAAAATTTGTGTGGACCGTTTGGGACACGTGAAATATGTCAAATTTAACACAACCTTATTTGCCGTATATAAGTAATCGGAAGAAAGGCGGAAAGACTCATGGACAGCTCGCGAAATGCCACGATCACATTTTTCCCCACTTCAAAATTATGACTGTTGCCAAACGAGCCGACGCGTCAACTCTAAACGTGCGTCCGTGAATTTAGCGCGTTATCGAGCGCTTCTAATACACTACGCGTTTGCACATTACAAGTGAAAAGAAAGAAAAAATAACACATCCCTACCCGGGGATGCACTGGTAGCGAAGAGGTTAATGGAGGGCAGCGTACACGGCGGGTGTTGAAGGCAGGAATAATGCGATGGAAACGAGCTCGCGCCCGATAGCGAATGCAGTCGCAACACGTGAAAATGGCGTTGTTCGACCTTATCAGGCGCGGCATGATTTATAGGTCCGCTTCGAAAGAGTTAATGGAGGCAAAATAGCGCGGGGCACACCATGAATCCTTCCGTATCGCTGGGCACTGTCGATGGTCCGTTCGACGGCGAGCTTGCTCGCTCTCTATCGGCTGCTCGGATCTCCATGCTTGAAACGTTCCCATGGGAGTATCGCTATGGTTCGAGCATTTCCAACCACGAACACGTACTCATTGCCCATGCCAATTATCGCATCGATGGCTTCCCTAATTATTGACGGTATAACCAGCGACGTTGTGTCACTGTTTCGTTACAATACTCACCCGCGCTTTCTGTTTGGAATACTCTTTTTCACTTGAAGAACTATCCGCATGCTTAAACAAATATTAATTTGTTGGAGAAAGGTCAGGAGAATAAAGAAGGTGAAGGAGGTTTTCGAATTTCTATTCTGCTAATTTCTTTTATAATTTGTTTTGCAACATGCGGTCTAGTGTTATAAATACATGAAGCAATAACATAACGTGTCGATTTAATAACGCCGGCTGTCCAATAATAATTTATTCGGCTCTTGGTGAAGGGGCGGTGAGTCTAACAACTCGTAAAAGATGGTAGCAGATGTTTCAAGAAAATTTCGAGAAAGCGCGCTCCAAGACAATCGACCTCACGTGGCAGAAGAAACAAAAGACGCTATTTTTAATACAGGCTGGGAAGTTGCATCGTACTCGGCTTATTCTCCAGATCTCGCCGCTTCAAATTTTCCCCTGTTTCGGTCGTTACAACGCCATTTAATCGGCATACATTTTAAAACAACACGGTAAAAAATTTTGTATTGCAAACGATCCACCCGAAATTTAGTTTTCCTTTAACAAGATGAATATGTTAAGAAGTAATATGTTAACAAAAGTGAATATGTTAATTTAACAAATATGTTACTTTTTAATATAGTGGATTATACTTTTTAATATATTGAACGGATATATTGAATTAGACTCCTTATTGTCTCTTTTTACATAGTGAGGCTTAAAAGGCTTATGTTGTAATTATTTAATATTCAAATATTTCATTATTTTATTCGCATTTAATTGGTGTCCTTAATTTCAAATAATATATTAATTATAAATACACTATTATTACATATCATTATATGTATCACAATCATATTATAATGATAATGATATGTACTTATTATAATATATAAGCTATGTACTTATTATAATATATAATATATAATATTATAATATATATATGTACTTATTATAATATATATATATCATAATTATATCATTATGTATGAGCTATTTATTAATTATATAACTTAACTGCAAATGGAAAACTGCATGAAATACATACAGTAAGCAAATATCAAATAAGTAAGCAAATACCAACGAAGATTGATGGATAAATGAGCAAATAAAACAACAGATTTCTTCCCGTAATCCCTTGTTATTTTTACTGATAAAACCTTAGCGAGATTGGAAAGTTAACAGCAGTTGAAAGGTAGGAATTCTAAAGGCACGCAAAGATAGCAATGTGCCCGAGAACACAAATATAGTTTTAAATTTTGATTCGGTGCAATAACAGAATAATTAACAAAAGGCGAAAGAAGGCGTCGGCAGTTTCAAGCCTGAGAAGCATCGTTGAAAGCGCGAATCACTCGCTCGATGCTCACACTAGATTCTAAACCTCGGCATAATTCGCGGGCAATTAGCGACTCGCCTTTGGTACGTCACATTAGTAGAATATCGTCGATCTGTGTAAGCAAACCGAAGCGTTTTATTAACCTCCCGTACGCGACGAGCCCTCCCCTCGTTACTTTCACCACCCCCGCATGCTAATTTCGTACACGCGAATAATACAACAAGCGGGGCTCGCGACATATTGTATTTTTATCAACGCCGAGTTGATTATATTTCTTTGCCGCTCCATCTGCGTCCCACGCTGAATAACGTGCGGCGAGATTTTTATAGCAACCAACACATTGCGCGACCGAACTGTCGGAGAAAAGCCGGGACGGCAAATGCGCCGACGAAATAGAATCCGTGGCGGGAGGTGGCGTGCCGCCGTATTTTATGTCATCTGTATTCTCAGTCATACTTAGCCTGCACGAGAGGCGCGCGGGTATTTTTAACGTCGCCGCCGCGGAAACCGAAATTTCCATCGAAGCCTCAATCCGCGGCTCGTAGCATTTGATCGATTTTCCACGGTCCGCCGGCGACACGCGGTGTGTTCTCCGCTCCGAGCGAGACGACACGCAGGGAGGAAAATCGATGTAACATTTCCGCACAGATTCCACGGGCGTTCCATTACGCGTGCGACGCGTTAATTTTCGCCATAATTTATGCATCGCGAACTGCGGTCGCACCGAACTCGCCCGGGCTCTTCCTTCCTCTATCGCGGCGCGTTCAATCGTATTCCGCGTAGAAATTTTCCCAGATTCCCCCACATACAGCATAGATTCCTATTAAAGCATCCAAAGTTGATCCCCAAATTCGATTATTCCACTATGATAGAGAAGAAAATAATATTATGGCATTTGTAGGTGTTATGGCTCACCTTAATATTTTCTCTGTCAACTCATTTCAGACCGAGTTAAACATTTTCGGGTCTATGAGATCCAACCGTTTTTTGCTCCAATTCCAGCGAATTAAATGGCATCCCTCCTTGTTTTTGTTTCAGCTGTACCGATACACGTACCTGGCCCATTACGGGATCGTGAACCTGGAGACTCTGTAAGTAAACGAGCCGTGTCCCGACGGCGCTCGCGACAATCATATCTCAAATTTATTCCGCGATCAAGTTCGGATTTGCATTTTAATCTCGGCACCGCCGTAAACCGAGAAGGGGGTGTCGGAAAAGCCGAGCGCCGCGTGCAAATTACAAACTGCGCACGAATTTAATCCCACCTCGTCTTACCGCCGTCGCCGCCACCTCTGCTTCCGTTCCGCGTCTGAGAACTTTCCTTCGTGGATTTGATCATTAACTCAGCATTTAAGAGTGGTTATATCACGATTACGGAGCCTGGCTGCCGCAATTTCGTTCTCTCTCTCTCTCTCTCTCTCTCTCTCGTCGGTCCTTCTCACCACCGGCACAATATTTAAAGCTACCGTTTAAGGCCTAAACTTATTCGCGCGATTGCACTTTTCACGGGCGTGAGATGTTCCGTCGGTCCTGCGGAGACGGCACAATTATGCGCGTCGCTTCTTACCAAAACGATTATCTGACTCCCCTCGACTTCTCGGCGCTCCCTCGGCCTTCGTGCGTGCCAACAGATGTATTCCCTCGCACGCCAGAAATCCCGGCGATTGATTAATTCCTCACTAGTCGTTATTATAGCTCGTGAAATTGAATTCGGTATCAACTAGCCGTTAGGGCAGTTAATTTCAGTGATTTATCCGTCATGCTGCGCCCGTTAAGTGTGCACGTGTGCGTATGTTTAGAGTTTATCTATATTTATCTATCCGAATATATTTGTTCACGCTGAAACGCGCTCCCATAACGTCCGACGAAGGTACACATTTCCTTTTAATTAGTTACAAATTCGGTCGATCGTTTAGAGTTAACTTGACCACCGTAACTGAAAGTTTACTTAATCGTTATGCAGTTGATACGTTTTTATGATTCGCACAGTGAAAAAAGTGTTACCATTCGAGTAATATTTACTCGATCCGGATAAAATGGTTACTCCAATGCTCCTTAGCAAATATTCACCAAAAGTAGAAATATAATTGGATATATGATATTTCCTTCGTGTGTAAGTTGACATTTACTTATACGTGTTAAAACACATATTGCGCATGTGTTAAATTCATAATATTGAGAATATCAGAATTTATTTTCAAGAAAATATTCATTTTCAACCAAACAAAAAAATGTAAATATGCTTAAATTGATAAGAATATTACTTGATTTAAGAGGTTGAAAAACTGGATAATCACATTTACTTGATCTTTTTCTGTGCACTTAACGACTCTTTCCGGGAAAATTTAAGTACCGATAGAAAAAGTTGATATCATGATTCTCCCGGGATTGTCTGGCGTCACTCAACTGGCTGAGCCGGTTGTAAAAGCCGTGAAATTTCGTAGACAAATTTTTATCGGCCGATCGCGCAAAACCGCGAAGATTTTCTCGAGATCCGTGGGAATGGCGTCGTTTTCGCGGCGCCGTTTTCGCGCTCCCTCGAAAGGAAGCGGCGGATGCTGAAGTTCGGTTCATTCACGCGGAACCACCTCGTTCTAAACCTGACTTGACCCGACCGCCTCCTAAACCTGTGGGGAGCAATTCTGCGAAATTTCGCTGTTATGTGCGGATGCCCACAGACTCGACGGACGCGTCTCGGGCTTCACGTCGCGCTTGAGATCATCGCTCTCAAATAGTCGCGCAGATCAAATCTCACCCCGTTGCTGAACGCGTTTCGCGAGCGCAAAGGCTGCTCGTCATCTCTCTGCGCACACCGCTGTTTCGTGGTTTAACCGCATAACTGCAGCAAACACATACACGTATACAAACGTATGCACCTCGTTGTGTCGAGTTCGAGTCACTTCCCTAGACCTGGAAAAAGTGAAATTTCACGTTTCAGAAAACGTGTAAACGAGGAATAACTTCAACGTATAGACTGATTCGAAGATATATACATGTTACATGACATACACGGAAAAAAAGAATTAGTTTCCACAGTTTAAAACCAGCTCCATATAATATAACTGAAACTTCGTTACCAGACTTTGTTTTTAGCTGTGGAAGCTAATTCTTTTTTTCCATATATATTATTGTGCAAAGGAGCATATTTCTGATGTAAAAACTGATGTAGAAAATATCCTATAAAAGTGAGTTCACTTAGAAACGGCTGTCCATCTATAAGTATTTAAAGTTTACAAATGTGATATTACAATGTTTCGGAACATTTTTTTATTAAAAATGGAAAATGAGGAAAAAATATGTAGATGACAGAAATTGTTCAAATTGACGTCCTTCGGCTTTAATATATGTTTTAATACGGTGCGATATGAAATGGACCTGATTAGCCACACGAAAAACATCATAATTGTTCCTTATTTGTTACATTTTTTCCATTTTTAATAAAAAATATTAAAAAAAATCGTGTTATTACATTTATCAATTTTAAACATTTGTAGATGGACAACCGTTTTAAATTATAATTACGTTTGCAGAACATTTTTACTTGAATTTATTAGGTGTCCAAATTAGTTTTGAGAGATTTTTGCACAAAATATACGTTTATTTTAGAGATACGTTAAATTATATTTTATTCAAAATATTTTCCATCGTTAGCTATAACTTTTTCCCCATTTTCCTGACAATAAATGAATTCCGCGATAAAAAAAAATATTCGTGCTTCGAAGCAATCCATTCACCGAGCCATTTTCTTACTTCTTCGTGTTTTTGAAGTGATGGTCAAAGCTGTGCTGCATCGATCGAAATAAATGATAATCTGAAGGAGCACAGTCTGGCAAATACGCGGCATGTGGTAAGACTTCCCATTGAAGGCCGATAACGTATCTTTAACTACTTTTGCAACAAGTTATCGAGCATTGTCGTGCAACAAAATCACTTTGCGTTTTCTTTGAGCTATTATTGGAGGTTTCTGGTTCAAAGCATTATTCAAATCAATATATTTTGGTTTTGAAATAGTTCTGTAAGTAGTTCTGAGAAATTGTATACGATGTTTGAAGTCTGAAGTCGAAACGATTGAAAGACTGAAGGATACACTTCAATTTTAGAAAAAATACGAAGCAATTAGAAAAATGTAGAGTAATAATATTGGATCGGTCGATAAGTTCGGTTTTCACTTCAATTTTCTACTTTCTTCGACCATTTCCTATAATTGATATGAATATATGTGCGAACGCTGCCAGAAAATATTGACGAACGATCATATTCACAGAGCAGATTTCTTTCGGTTTAATAAAATTTCTTTAATTAAAACAAATCTGTCTCTTGAAATAAAACAAGTGAACAAATGTTTGATTCAACAAACAAGATTGTTTAGTTTCTCAAATAATAAATATCCTTATGACAGATAAAATAATATTTCTCTTGCATTTTATTCAAACATTACAAGAAAAAATATTAAAGAACTTCTTTATTTCAATGGCACAGTATTTAATGTGTAATAAAATAAATTGGTTTATTGAAAGAAAATATTATTTCCTCTAAATAATACTGATTACTTCTTTCTGTTAAACATATTTACTCCGACGAAAAAACCTCTTTATTGAAGTAAAATGATATATGATATTAAATTGTTATTAATTATTTTTATTGTTATTCATTATTTTTATTATACAAACGTGTGTTACATATAAGTTAAACGAAACATATTAAACGATTATTAGATTTATTCGTTTCATTTCGTTGCTATCGCCGTCGAAACGTTAGCGTTGAAAATGACCTACCGAGATGAATACGTAAATTGTAATCGTGTTTCACACAGCGGATGTAGCTAACGTGCACTCAGCGATAAATATTACAGTCGCGAAAACAGAACTCGCGAGAGAGAGTGAAATATCTTGTACGCGCGCGTAAAGTTAACGTCCTTACTTACTTAGTTTTCGGAATCGACGAGGACGTGACGCGAATACACATAAATAAGCATAAATTTCGTAAGGAATTTATTTTGCCACCCATTCTGGCCCGCTACATTTCATTTTCCCGAGAAACCTCGGTTATTCGCGCGGCGGTCGCTCTAAATCGCGGGGGGGAAATCATTCTTTCGTATCAAAATGTACGCGTAATATACGTAACAACGAACAGCGCGAGATTATGGCGCGTATTATTGCGCGCGATATATCGTACATCAGGGCCGGGCACATTCGCCCCCACCGTGTTCTCCCAAGAATATGCGTTCATCCCTTCAGTGCCGCGCGAAAACAGTGTCAGAGATACAGGCAATATGCAAGAACGGTCGCACAATGGTATTTATTTAACCGTGAGATTTGTCGCACGAAACACGTAACGCATTTCGCTCGCTTTCCCGAATGAAATTTTTCCCGTATGAAGAACGGAATAAACGTTGCAGCCACGCACATTCATATGTTCTCTCGATACCTGGAAAACGAAGAATAAGTGATAATTTCAACTTTAACATCCATCAACGAGAATATATTCTCTCAGACATCGCCGGATAGATCTGCAAAACTGCTCTCCGACGTGCGCACGCGCGATAGTAATGCATTGAAAAATGAGTTTGGCTGGTTTTTAGATATTTTTCACTAGTTTAACACTCCCCCCGTTCTTTACAAATCCTAATCTGATCATAACCCTTTCCGTTACTTGATGCAAACCGGATTCAATAGTGCAGCTTGATGGGGGACGTTATAATGAATTCTGATTACCACGCAACGTTACATGACTTCTTAGGATCCGATAATATAACCTTAAATGAACCCGACAACCAATTAAGGTCAACCCGAGCTGGGCCGCAAGATAAATTTCTAGTTGGATACTGTCTATTGTCAAATAGATCCAACCAAACCCAATTTTCAGCGAAACCGTGAAGATGAAGTGAGAACCGGTGTACTGCAATGTTAGAAAAAGTTTTTTTTTTTTTTCGAGTTATATCACGTCATAGCCTACGCAATCGTACTGTTCGCCGCCTGCGTCCCTTCTGTAAATTTCGTCCTGATCCACATTAGTAAACTTCGATTAGTAAAATCCGACCGCCGTTTTTGGCTTTAGGTGTCGCGTTAAAAGGCAGCGCGAGGATACACCGGACGGTGTCTTATGTGGGTGAGAGCAAAAGGAGAGATAGAGAGAGAGAGAGAGAGAGAGTAAGTAAGCCGTGAGTTTCTTTGGTGTATATTCCGTGCGAGGCGAGCCCTGTCCCGCCATAAACCCGGTTTGTACGCCGCATGAATACCGGCGTCTTTATTTATGGCTTTTCGGGAAGAAGTTCGCCGCAGGACGACGAGCTATCCAGCGACGACACGGCAGTCAAGTCGCGCGTATGCGCGCCGCTTTTCATCGATTTTCCGCGGCCGGTTGGCGCGGATAAAACGCCGCGGGTCATTTCGCGAATTCAGCCGGAAGAAGCGCGCTTTTCGCCCCCGTGCTCTTTCTTTCTTGCTTTCTTCTTTTCACCCTCACGCGGAGGATAGGAGCAATCGAGGGCTTCGATGCAGCAGCGGCGACCTAATCCACGCTTTTTCGCGAGGAATTCGAGGACGTTCATTTCAACTTTGCAGCATCGCGCTTTTGAATGGAGGGGTTCTAATCTTTGGGAGAATTCTCCTCGTCTTCGTGGAAATTCGGACGTGTGTTACTTTCGTAATCTAATACGACATATATAATGCAATTATATGTAATAATTATAAAAACCACTCGAATTCGAGTGATGTTTTTGCTCGTACAGAACGAATTTTCCATTCTGAATCGTCGAGTGAATAGTTTTGCTCGAAACTCAAGAGTGAATTTGACTGTATTCCACTGCCAACGGGAAGAAATTCACTTTAATCGACTGAAACATCCACTTGTATAAAGTCAGAATCTATTCTACGTTCAAAGGAAATATTTGAGCGGCAATATTTTTACTATCACCTCGAGTGAAAATATTGCAACTTTTCACTTATTTTGGATAGGATTTCCGCTCCGAGAAATTTAGAAAATATGATTTGAAAATGATCAATGTTCACAGAGAAAGGAACACGGATATAACATTTTTTAACGAGGGTGTTCGCCGATTTTGTAGATCCAACCGTTTTCTTCACAATGCAGTAAAATACATTTATTTCATCCGAGTAAAATTTACTTAATCCAAGTAAAAGTTTGCCAAGGACACGCATTGCAATGACCGTTTACTTGAATTTAACATTTTTTTAATGTCTCATAAATATCGATAATAAACAATCTATCGTGCACCTTTCTCTTTTACACATGTACGCGCGGCGATCGCGCCCGTGTTTGTTCGCTTCGCCCGCAATTCTAGAAACCATCGCAGAATCAATTTCAGAGTGTACAATGTGCTTTTGGCTTATATCCGGAACGGCTTCCGATTTTATTATACTTGCGATTTTACTGTGGAGCCGTATTGTACGCGCTCTCTCGTCCTCCCTCCCTCGCTCCCTTCCCCACCATTCCTCTTAAACATTCCCTTTCTTTCCCTTTTCGAATATATGCATTAGCGTGCATGTACGTATATGCGCATGCATGCATATGCACCTAGAAAACATATTTGAGAACATGTGCATTCGCGGGCGCATATTGCGGCGACATAAAATGAACGTTGCGTTTTTCACAGAGTTCGAAGTTCTTTTATCGATGCAGACTGGGAGTTTCCGCGGCTGTCGTAAAAAGTGATGCGAAGAACGGTTACAACGTAGGAAAAATTGCGGGCGCGAAAGAGTAATTTTCTGTTTAACATTAATCTCTCGACGCGGCGATTTTATTATTTGTCCGTCGCTCTCGATAACGTATTTGCCGGCGGTTCTTACGCGAATGGATCCGGATAGTTTTCCGCCCACGGACGGTCGACGTTGCGTACTTGGCGACCCGCCACGCGGGCGAGTCCGGATTTCGGAACTTCCGCCCGAAATGGATAAAACTTTCGCGCGGAATGACAGCGGCGGGAAGAGGGGGAGGTGGCAAAACGACGATGACGAGCGTATAAAGATGACACATCACCTCGTCCATTTTATTCCGCGGCCGCGCTCTCCGCGAAGCGCCTTATGCAAACTATCGTAATTCTCTACTGGTGTAAAATATAAAGTTCCGAAGGGCCGTGGCTGAAATTTCAGACAAGTTCTTGCCACCTCGGCGACTGTTTTGCTATTCTGCGCGCGTTATTATCGTACAACGAAAAGAATCCAGCTTAAAGATCGTATTAAAAGAATGATTGTTGAGACAACCTTATTCATAGGTGAGTCCGAGGTTATTTGACACACTTTTTTATATACTTCTTTTTTGTCTTTTTTTATATCGGTACCTATATATTTATCGCGCGAGATCTTCATATTCGCGAAATTACTTTCAGTAGAGCGGATACTTTTACCTGTCTCGTCTGATTATTCGGGAATCGTAATAATCTCCTGTCATTGTTTAAGTTCGGAACCTCTTTGACGAAGAATTTGCGGCCCGTATTACGTTTCTCCGCCGAAAGCCACGTAACAATACGGAGCCGTAGTTATGCGGGACTACATCTCCCGAGCTTGTCCAGTAGTTCCAAACTAGAACCCTGCCTAGAATCATACAGAGTTACAGCATTGTCCGACCGAGACACAGTGACGTCATTGTTGGTCGCTACGATCGGTTACGAGCGCTAAACAATAACCATCTGGACGTGTTTCGACGTGCCGATATCTTCCTCTGTCTCGCTTTCGTAAACCAGGATTTCGGCACCGTCTATTCTGCGGTCTCTGTTCGCAAATACATCCGTTCGACTTTGCGAAATCAGCTTACGGGGGAATTATAAGTTCGCTAAAGGCAGTGCTCGAATCCCCGCGTTTTCTCGTTATCCCTTCACGAAAGAGTACGCGTGACTGTCTTGAGAAACGCGAGAAATGGTAAAAAAAAAGAAAAAAAAACAGATTCGCCTCGTATCACGCAAAGTGAGCGGTACATTAGCGAAATCAAGGGACGCAAAACAGACGAGTAATTTATCTAAAGAGTCATTTTATTCCACGTTATACTTTATACTCTTGTGTTTCTTCTCTCATTTGTTAGACTGCGAATAACGACGCGCTTTGTTGTCCTTATGCGGTCTTTCCCCACGTCTTTCACCCGTATAATTCCGCTATTAAAATAATTACAATCGGTGGGCACGATATCTTCAAAATATTGCGAACTTTCCCGCTCCGTGCGAAGGTAAACGTAACGAGAAGTGCAGGGAACACGAGAACGCGAGCGAGAGAGATTAGCCACGAGATACACACGCGCGAAGAATGACTGTATAATAGCTAAATGAAGTGACTACCAGCCGGTCCATTATATGAAGCACGCGATGCAATTATATTTGCAGGGCGGAAACGATATTGGCGGCGAACGAGTCGACGCCGCTGCAACTCGCGAAGTGGGCGCCACACGGCAACGCTCTGATCTACGTGCATCAGAATAATATCTACTACAGACCGGAAGCAGAGGTGGCCAATGACTATCAAATAACCAACACGGGGGTGTACGGAAGTATCTACAACGGTGTGCCCGATTGGGTATACGAGGGTGAGTTGTTCTCTTATACACAGACTCTTTCACAGTCAGAAGCAGCGTTAAATTGAATTTGTTTCGGCGTCGAAACGCTCGATAACCCGTTGAGTTGAATGGAAATTTATTCTGCTACAATATCGAACTGTGTGACTCCGTTTATATCACGTTTCATATTATATTGTTTGTATCATATTACGTTATTATAGTTTGAATTATTTATTTAAGCTGGCTGTTATTATTATCCTTGATCGTTATTATCAGCCAATGATCAAATAATCACGATCAATGATAAATGCTAAATGAAAAGTTTTCGATAATATTCTCTAATTTTCCTAAATACATATTTTTTTATTTTTAGATATAAGATTATAAATACATTTCTATCCTCCAATTCTGTTGCAAATTTTTCTTATCAAAAAGTGGAATTTAGCTTGCAAAGCACATTCTTTCTTCTTTTGAGACGCGATTAATTAATTAAATCGAAAAATAATTGAACCGGTGTTGAAACGATGTTAATCGCAGAAGACACGTCTAAAATTATACTTCTTCGTCGTCGAGTTAATTTAAATTTTAACTAGGTTTTCATTAGGTTTTGACGTTGATTTGACGTCGAACGAACTATACGTTCCTGATTAAGTTAGCGAGTATATTTATTTTAATCTCTTATGCCAAGACTTTCTTCTTTAAACAAGTTTTCCATTTTTCCATTTACAAGAGCGTTCTCATAAATTAACTTTCAAAAAATAACGAGCAATTAATTTTAATTCTATTTTGCATTTTTAATTCTCCATCTTAACTTCTTTTATTTTCCATATACTTTTAGTTCTATAATTAATAATTACTAGAAAAATTCAGTAAATGTTCCATTCATTCGCGGTACTTTGCAAATTTTCTGGGAAAGAGCTTTTTGCAGCGCGGCACGGAGCTGTCGCAGTTTAATTTTTTCGAAAACGAGATGAAAGACATGAAAAGATTAAAGTGGGTTAAGGATGTAACTTTATCTCGTCAGCGCTTTACCTTTTGGCGCAAATTTCGCGGAAAGCCGATACATCGCTGATCCACTTTTTTGTGGACTTTGTAGCCCGAGCTCGGCTACAAAGACTATCTCGATTTATCGTACTCATACCGTATGGCGACGATTCAACAAGTCACTCAATATTTTTCATTTATCCCTTTCGAACGATCTGTTTTCCCCGTAATCGTAGAAATATTTTATTTATCTTTTATGTAATATACGATTGGAGAGAACGGCATGCTATGTCGGAATGCGATGCACGCGATTTGTCTCGTTATTCTCTGTCGACGAAAATATTGTCTACTGTGTAATCAAAAGACTCGCGCTGGCAATATGAAAATATTGCAAGAACGTAAAAAATTTTAAGAACCTTTTTATAATCATTATTCTTGCTCAAATAATTTTATCTTAATAATGAAAGAAGAGAAACTGAATACAGATCTATTCGATCACGGATGAAAAATCACACACTGCGGCGAAAGGACATATCGGCTTTATCGTCGAATACCGGCAACGACGAGGCGACAAATGGCAATTGTTCGCGATACATGACATTCTTTTTTTATTCTCTCTCTCTCTCTCTCTCTCTCTCTCTCTCTCTCTCTCTCTCTCTCTCTCGCCCAGCAAATCCGCATAAAAATGTCCGTGGCTATGAAGAGAGCTGCGTTTAGTATCATAAAATCGCGAATGACGGATGGATCAACGCGCGTCCATATTTAAAGAGATAAACGCGGCAAATTGTCCGGATTCATAACGTCACGTTATTGGCAGACCGGCGGAGCAGCTGCTGCCATTGAAAAGCAACGAAAAAGTCGGAGCGTGATTTAAAATGCAGAATCATGCCGCGCTTTTATATGTATATCGAACCGATTGCTTCGCAAGGCCAACGGTGTCCCCTGGCCGTCCCGGACGTTGATCGACGCGCGAAATCCAGCCGTCAGTGTATTTATTCGCGCATTTCCGCGTATAATCATCGCGTCGAAATTTGTCAGCCTCGGGAATTTTTCAATCATCGACGCGCGGATTTTCATCGCGCGCGCCTCTGCTCGACAACGTCGCGTAATCCGTCGATTTCCAATACGAGACTTTTTACAATGTACGTCGCCCGCCTCTCCGCTCGCTATTTCTGTCTCTTCGGAAACGCGGTTAAATCGGTAAGCGCGCATAGTGACAAGGAGAATCGTTATATTTTAATATGAATCTTTCTCTCTCTCTCTCTCTCTCTCTCCCCTTCTCTCTGTCCGTTTTTTTCTCTCGATGGACATTTCGTTAACTTCGCGAAAAAAAGGACATCGATGCCATCTTTTATTCAGAATCATGGTAATTAATATGAGTAATACGCGAGTGCTATTGGTGTGCGTGAGTTTTAATATTTTACCGGTATTTCCGAGCGTGTCGTAATTCGTAATACTTCGAAAACGCTAAATGATTCGGACATCCATGTTTGTGAATACGTTTAAATGTGCTATACGTGTCCATAGCGCGCAAACTAATGACAAACAGTCGGCTACGTTATCGGGCATTAAATTCATCACGAATGGCAATGATTAATTAATACGATGATGATAATTAATTAGTGAATTATCTACACGTAGCGTGTATTAAGGGCTGCATTGCGAAAAACCGCGCCAGAGAAGGAGACGAATATTTTTTTTTTTTCTTAAGAAGGAAATTATTATTATTATTATTATGTACGCGTTCGTGTACGCGCAACGTTGCTTTTGTTTAATCTGTCTAGTGAAACAAGCATCGAGCGGACTACAAGGAATATTGTTCTCGCCCCGCTATTATTAATATTTATAAATTTCCGGATGCAAAGGACATTTACGGGGTGGAAACGCCGCTTGTTAAGCGCGAGAACGGGGTTTCTGAAAAATAATTTCGCCTCCTCCGTTGGTATTTAATAACGCGTTGTTCACAGATTATCCTGACGGGATTAATATTGTGTCGGAAGAATTTGCAGTTATTATTATCGCCGCAAAAGAAGNGGGGGGGGGGGGGGGGGTTACGCGAAATCATTCCGCCGCTCGCACGGCGCGCACTTCGTCGTTCGCGATTTTACACAGTCGAACAGCCTCGAAAGAGTCGTCGATAAAGTGTCAAACCGCCGCTCGAGACATGCCAAGAACTTTTCAACCTGTATTTTGTTCCCGTCAGCCGAGGGCTTCACTGACGACATACTTTATCCGCCTGCTACCGTGGCTACAGGATTTTCTTAGCTCGAATTTTTGGCGTATAAACTGACTTACGCGCGCGCCGGAGGGATTTTCATTCGGAAAATTAATAACTCGCGGGATATCAGAAGAGCCTGTGTTCCGAACAGAGAAACGTCGAGTTTGAGATTTCGTTTCTCCACCGTGAAGAAATCATTCCTCTCTTATTAATCGTTGTTCTATAGATACTTTTGGAAAAAGATACACTGTTTTCATTTTAATATCAGTCAAATTAATAATATGACGTGTAAAATATCATATTAATATATTTTCCTAATTTAAATTCATATTAGGTGCATAAATTAATTTGATGCCTGTGGTTTTACTCGTTTCTCTAATAGGCACTTCAAATCTAAATATATTTCTGCTCAATTTTAGTTTTAAAAAGTTACCATCTAGAACCACCGTATAATATCGCGGAATGATCAATATAACCTCAGAAAATAACAGTGATCAGGATTGCTATCGATAAAAATGCATATTCGGCACGGCATTCTTTTTGCATTTCAACCGCTTAAAATTGTTGTCGAAGCCACAAAAATGTTTTGCTCGGATCTTGGAGAGAGCGCGGTGAGTCATACAACTTGTAAAAATTGGTAACAGAGGTTCAAGAAGATTTCGAGAAGGCCTACTGATGAACTTTCGGTTACGTAGAGCAAGCTATTATACGTTGCAACGTGGATGCTGATAACGATGTCATATCTTACAGTTATGGCGATACCGCAGTAAATTACACGGTAAATGAGTAAAAGCCGGGCTATACGGGAAATTTGTGGAAGGTAGACCGTGTGTCAAGCGCATTCTGTGTCGGCAGAAGATGGTGGATTAATTATTAAAGGTGTTTTGCCGCGCTGCAACGATCCAGTCTACCTCACTGCCGCGTTACTTGATCAATTATAACACTTGTCTCCCTCGGTGGCTCTTTGCGCGAGAGTTATTATATTATAAATACAATTCATCACGACAAAATTGTATGTTCCTCGACATTTCGCAATCCGAAAACGTGGAATTCATAATAAGTTTCGAAGAGTGCAATTCTGTTGAGAAATTTTCTAAATGAATTTTTGTAAGTGAATGTTTTTTTGTAATAAATACAACGAATTGATGTATCAGACATCATATAATTGCTTTTTCGTAATGAGAAATATGTTTTTCACTTTGTTTACATTCGATCTAAATAGCTGTAAAAATGGGAAACACGAAATAATAATAATATATTTCGAAGCTTCGAAATTTGCATAATCAACACCGAAGCTTCGATTCTTCGAACATTCGAAATTCGAATGTCGGACCCTTCGAAAGAAAACACTAGTCCTAACTAATACACCGTTATTCTTTAATGTAGTCCAAAGTACGGGTTATAATCATTTCGTACATAGAAATTGCACAGTTTTCCTATCGAGCGAACGTTTAAATGAGTTGATATCCGTACGCACCAAAACCATTCCGGCATCGCCTCAATCCAGAAGTGATTTACAAGGCGAGCAACGCGAACTATCCCGTGGAATCGTCATTTAACCGGAGGATCTCTGCGCTCGCTCGCTGCGACATTAATACATCCCGCGGTAAGATGGAAATCCGTGCTTTCTACTTCTTTCAACAATGGCGGATGTGACATTAATAGAGCGGCGGGGATTTAGAGAAATCCTTTTCACGAAATCCCGGCTCGCTAATGGTACCGCCCCTTCACAGGATTCCGATTTCTGATCGGATTCTAAAATGTTTCCTTTCCCGACTGTCGCCGAGCGACGCGGGGGACGCGAGGATACTGCCGCGATGGAAATGTCCTCGCGTAGGATTTATATTCTCCGCGCGCGGAATATGCGCGTTACCGTTGCAAACCGTAAACACGACGGCGAAATGCAGCGGGGTGGTTTTACGCCTCCTCGCATATACGTAGAGTCGCGCGACATGTTTGACAATCTCGAGAGGGATGTCTCGTTGGGAAGAAGAGGGATTGTACTCGCCATTTTTCTTGGTGTTTGTTTAACCTTTCCAAGCTCTATGGCGGAGTTATCAATGCGCGATGTATCCAAATGCCGCGTAGCGCGCGAAATGTCTCCCACATCTCGATCAATCGAATGTAAAATCTGGAGGTTACATCGAGTCAATTTTTGACGCGCTCGTCGCGCGTCGCCTCGCACGTTGAATCAATGTCAGAACGCGAAATCCACGACGGAAGCCATTGAGAGTAGGTAACTCGAATTTACTCAGCGATATGCGGCGAGGGTCCGAGAATCGCGCAACGAGGTGTGAGAGGAGTTCGCTGCCAGATATAAATAATCGATCGATCAGCCGGATTTATCGGACAAGTTCATCACTCGGCGACGCAAGCCCTTGCTCCGGCTCTGTTTTTCCTTCGCGTGCTATTCAGATCCGACGGCTTCCTTATCCCGTCGTCGGAGTTTCGACGCATACACACACACACACACACACACACACACCTATCCACCCACTCGGAATCTCACCCTCGGGATATTTTTCTCCCTCATCATGTCCAGCGAGCTGCGCAACGCAGCGTCGCGTCTTTGTGCGTTTTTCCTTCTCCCGTCGCGGCATTTCTTCCACCACCTTTCTCTCTAACTTTCTCTCTCTCTCTCACTCACCTACTCTCCCTTGCTCGACCTTTTCCCATTCTTTTCTCTTCCCGTCTCGTCCCTTCGTTCCTTTCTTCTCTTTCATGTTTGCTAGCGAAGGCTTTTTTGCCTTTTCTCGTGATTCCTTCCCGTCCCGCAACGTTGCGAGCTGAATCTAGCCCGGTCTCAAAGGTCTCGCCGACATTCTCAAAATATGCTAACTCCTCCTATTTTCCTGACTTTATCTCTCTCAGGGACGGATTTACACGTAGACACACGTGAGACGTTAACGGAGCGTCTGAAAAATAAGCGGTTTTTAGCGAAGTGGTATAAAGACGGAAATAGGAACGCAAAATTCCACAAAATTCGCGAGACACGAACTGTAATTTTACCGAGTTTCTTAACTCTCTCGAAACTGATAATATTCAACGATCTCCCGGTATAACATTTCGCATTTTCAACATATATCTTATGCAAGAATAGTCTCGAAATCAGATTCAATTTTAAGATGCGTAGAAAGGAGAAGTCTTTTCTATATACACACACACATACACACACATAGATCCTGAAACATCCATCCCCACCACGGAACTTTCTGCACTTTTGATCGCTCTCTCGGCAGACTTCAAGCCGCCTTAAACTAATTTCCCGCGGTCTAGACCTGAATTAAGTTTTTCGTAATCGCTTTCCTCTTCTTCTCCCGTAACATTCATCGCAAAGCATCGTCTCGAGATTCTAGCATGCGTCCCAGCATTAATCCACCGCTGTCTCTCCCCTCCGTCTATTCTTCCCTCTCCCACTTTCGCGGACACTCTCCGCTCTTCGCGGCTCGAAAAGTGGATATTTATGTCGTTCTGCGCCCGCGAGCCAGCCTCTTTTTCGAGAGGAAACGAAATAAAGGGTTTCCGCTCGGTTCCCCCGTAACTCGCCCGGCTCCTTTCCGACATTCCCGCGCACGCTCTATGAACCCGTGCTTATTACATCAGCGATTTTCCCTCGAACCGTCGCGACGACCTCCCTTTGTTGTCGGGCTTCTTATTTGCGAAGTGTGGAAAAAATGACATTAGCGCTGACTATGGAGATCCTTTCCGAACGTTTGCACTTTGTTTATCGAGACGCGGCTGAACGAAGGGAAATTCACGGTGAGTGCTTCTTTCAGTTTTAACGTCGGCCACTTTGTTGTCTGCCTTATTATAAAGTGAAATCGCGCAAATTTTAATCTCGCTCAAAGGGAAATGAAATTCAATTAGCGAAATCATTTTTTTTGCGCCATTTTTTAATGAGAATAAAAACTACGAAATTTGTAGAGTCTCTCTCTCTCTCTCTCTCTCTATCTATCTTTCTCTCTCATGTCCTTAATATTTCGTGTTTCTCCGTCGAAGATTCACTTCGTCTTACAACTGCAATTGCAGGAGATGAACATGTAAGCATTATCAGACGCAGAAGTTTAATCTAATCGGCTTCTCGCGTTATACTTTATTTATACCGTAATAATGGGAAAGCGGAAGTGCGCATCCATTCGCTTAGCCGGGCTTCATAATTACGCAATACGCTGGATAATCTCAGGGCTGAACTTTCTTTACTCGCAAAATTTACGACGAGGAGAGCTTGATTACGATTGCTTGCTTCCTCATTGTGAGGAATTGTCCGGACTCTCTGCGAGTTCTTTAATCGGATGCTTAACGCGAAGTTAACATTGGAACGGCGGTAGCTGTAGTATCCGTGGAAATCAGCTGGTAGCGGGAAGAAACAAGTGACGGACGGACTACCTTGAGGAATTGCAAATAAATGTTTATTGCACAAGAAGGGAAGAGTATTATCATAGAAATTATTATTTACTTAAATTGATGGGCGGTGCGAAATAATACTCGAATTTCATGTAATTTCATATTTTATTTATTTGCGCAGTACGCGAAAAACAATTGCATAAATTGTGGCTTTTCGTTTATCGAGAAATTCGCTCATCCGTTTGATTTTATTTATTATCGTAATTTATTTGGTCGGGTATAATATTTCACGATGGTTGAGCCTTCTCAACGCATGAACTTCCAAAGCCCCGAAGTCACTATCGCATGCTCCTGACGGGAAGATTATTATGCGAGGGGGCTTCGTGAAGAAGAGTGCAAGGGTGACGATATCAAATAGAAGTCTCTTCTTTTCTTGTTTACGCTTTATTTATCATCGTACAGCAGAAAAGGGATGAGACCCCGAGTCGTGATGCACCTTAGGCGCTCGGTGCCTCTCTATAATTATACCGGGTGGAATGCCCTCAATGAACTTTGCTTGTGAACTTTACGACGACGAAACAGTCGTCGCAATTTCCCGCCTCGTCGTTAACGCAACGACGTCGCCGTGTTCAGCCGAAGCCTGTAAAAAATACGGCGCCACCGTAAAGTCGAGAAAATACACGCGGTATATCAACGATAATTTCTACGTCGAGTTTTTATCATCGACTTTATATATATGTGTATATGTAACGCATTATAACTAATTTTTCGCATACTTATTTTGTTGCAGAGGAAGTGTTCAATTCGAACGCGGCTCTTTGGTTTTCTCCGAGCGGCAATAAATTGGCATTCGGCTATTTCGATGACTCAAACACCCCTATTATGACCATACCGTTTTACGGATATCCCGGAAGCTTGACCTTCCAGTACACATCGGCAATACCGATTCACTACCCCAAGGTAAGCACACACTTCGTCATATTCCATTCTGTTTTTTTTCAGCGTATCCAATCAAAGAACGTCTTTATCCGATATGAAAGTTACGAGATGCCAAGTCGTTAGATTATGAAATATCTCATGTATATTTTTCACAATGCGTTTGTGTACACAGTATCCAAATATAATAGGCGGATATAGGTGCGTTATTTCCGTTGTAATATCTTCATACATTTTTCATAAATATATTTCTGCATTCGCGAAATGCTCGTCATAAATTTCACATTTTTCGTACTCGCGTTATTTTAATTAGTTGTTTTCTTGTTTACGCATTTACGGGAAATGAGATTCCTAGGGGAGGAAAACATAATGTCACTTTAAAAGGCGGCATTCCTAAACGTTCCTAGACGCTCTCAGAAACGTCTCTTTCACTTTGTGTCCTCGCGAACTTCCGTGTCGCACGACTGTCCGAGATATGAAAAGCCATCTAATCGAAAGTTTACATCCTGAAAAGAGGAGAGCACTGTGAATATGACACCCCTGCATTTTTCAATGCCGTTTTATAGCCCGCGATTAACGTCGCCGTGAAAAAAAATAGTGCGGCATAGAAGAATATTCGTCGTCGAGCCGGCCGTTGAATAACATCTTTGTTCTCTTGGCCGATGAAGATAGTCGCAGTTTCATTCGCATATTGCGCAACACGTAAATATACGTATCAGCAATTTTGCTTTACATTACCTTTCTTCTGCGCAATAAATTTTCGCAAAATAAATTAGAATAATCTGCAGAAAGTGTAAAGTGAAGAGATTTTATAAATTTCGAAATACTAATTTGATAAAACTCATCGTTAATATTTGCGATGCCTGTTGACGTTTCTGTCTTTCTCTTTTCTTTCCTTGTATCCACTGTCATTGATGTGACAAATCTAGACGAATATTTAAATGTACGCGCGTCATTTCTGCATTTCTCAGCGTGTTTTCACTTAACCTATGATTATAGAATATCTCGTGGCGCAATTGTTCGAACAGTGAAATAGGAATGGCGATTGTGACGGGTACACTCTCTTTCGGAGATTTTTCTTGCCCTCGCGTATACCCCAGCGAAGTTCCGTGTGAATTGATTTCTTTTCCGGAGCGCGGAGGAATTCAAAGTTTGACGTGCAGCTTTATTCCGTTTTGTTCCGTTGCCATCTGAGAGAAACGACTCTATAAGTATATAATCTTGCAGCCACGGATTAAAGTCACCGGCTCGTCAGCCGAGCGATTCATTTCGCGCAAACCGCTATTCTGTCATTTCCCCGGAGAAAAGCATTAATGTACATTCATCTGGATTTCTTCCAGCCCGAGACTTCATTGCGCGTTTCAGGCCCGTGCTCCGAGAAATATTTTGACAGAACGCGAAGGACATTTCGTTTATTTGAATTCTGTTCAAAGTCACGATAATGATCGCGATAAACAAACTTGCATAAATATTCATTTCTAATAAAAAGGTAATATATTAAAGAGACAAGCTTGTCCCGGAAATTTATACCCTCGCAAAATTCCGCCGAAATTACAGTAAAATGCAAAATGTCCGAAGGATTTGAATAATTTTACCTTATCATTTGAAAATGAATCATTACGTGGTCTATGTGGTAATAAATTCGTCATTTGGGGAGTATCATATTAATGGTAAAATCATTAAATGCGCGAAATTAATATTATTGTTTAAAAAATAACTGCGTTTTATCAAATAAACGTTATAAATTCCTTTTTAATTGGCAGATGGTAAATTATAAATGCATAAACTCATTTAATTTCCCTTAATTTATGTAAAATCGATATTTTATGTGCAATTCGTTAACGTGATTCCAAAATAAGCGGGATCATAAATATCATATCACAATGACGTGAGGGAGAGCCTGTGAATTATGTTTATGACTACACGTATTTTACACGAGAAATTTTGTCCCTTGAATTGAATTCCGTTAAATTTACTTCCTCGCGCTGAGTAATACTTATTACGTAATGAAATTTTTGTGTTTACTGATCATGGGCGTTAGCTTGTTGCCACTTTACCAGAAAGTTCCGCGGGCGGAGGTAAGAAAATTCTGCAATTTACTAAAAAGCGATCAGGAACTACCTTTAAGTTGCGGACAAACGGCTAGGGAAAGGCAGTTGCATCCAACGGCGCCGTATTACTTTTTTCCGAGGCAAGTGTCGCTTTACTTTTCGGCAATTTGATATTAATGTGATATCGCCGAGTTGGGCAAACGGATGAAACAGTGCGAACGGCAATTGTAGCGTCTCGTGTCTCGAAATTAAACAAGATTGCTATTAAAACTTTCGATATTGGGACGAGCGAGATTTCAGTGCACTTAAAGTTATCGGTGAAGGAACAGCCACGGGGTGAGCAAAATCGAAGATTTATGTTTCCAATTTCATTAAAACATTTCCCCGCGCAAACAAGCAAGCTTGCAAACAACAACTTTACGCACTCCATGGGAAAACTGCATTTCTCGTGTAAATATATACACAATGTGATACACACGGAAACTTATCTGGAGAACTATCGCGTTGGCGTGACATTCCACATCCGCGTGCGACCGGATTATACGTCACGCGAAAATCAATTCGACAGAGCGGAAGAATTTCAATTCCCCGCTCGGTGCTGATACTAACTTAGTCACAAAGAATTCTGCTATTGAGATCAAAATCGAAGAGATTACAGTGACTACCCACTGTATCGATGTGCGATACAATAATCCTCTTCCATCATAGTTGGTTGATTGGATATTCTTTTTTTCTTTACTAGTCAAGGAACGAGTAATGTTCCAGATATAAGTAGAAAAGCACAGGTGAATTCGATATATCGAGAATCCGTCATTTTCTTTGCACGGTGATACTTAGAGCAAACGAGTAAAGGAGCGACAGAAGGAATCTAGCANCTAAAAACAAAGATTCCCCCCCCCCCCTCTCTCTCTTCCGTCTGTCTTCTCGTTGTTCTCCGATAACCATCACTCGTTTCAACATCGCTGTACCGCATTATAGATCCGTCTCTTTTGTTTCAGAGCGGCACGACGAATCCAACGGTGAAGCTGTTCTGCGTCGACCTGGACATGGTGGTGCAGGGCAACGTGACCTTGGTGGAGATCGAACATCCGCCGGAGCTGTCCACCACTGAAAGAGTCCTGTCGGCGGTGAGCTTCCCCACGGACGAGCTCGTCTACGCGACTTGGATGAACCGGGTGCAGAACAGGGCGTATTTCCAGCTCTGTAACGTCGACAGCCTGCTGCCAAATTGCACGACAGTAGGTACTTCCTCATCCCTCGCGGAAGTAATCCGCCGCCCCTCTGGCGGCCGGCGACGGCCCCGGCGCTCGTTTGATAGTCCGCTTTGCCGAGGATCCGTCGTCCTTGCTCTCTTGCGCAGATCTTAATTTAGGCGGCCGCTCCTTCAGTCCAGGCAATAGTATTTTAATTAGCGCGCACTTGCCGGCGGCTGGCTAATTCGCAGTTCCGCGAGTCACCCTCTTTCCCTCCCTCGTAATTGTTTCTTACGAAATTTCACCGTTGTGCGAATTTTGCGAGTATCGGAGGATTTCACGCACGGCCGGATTATGTAAAATTAATCTCCGCTTGTCAGAAGCGCGGGATTAACCTCGCGGGGAGCAGTATTCCCGCGAGATATTTTGCATGCCGGCCACGTGAGCTCCGCCATATCAAAAGAATATCCACAAAGGAGGCGGAAGCGACATCGTACGTTCAATAAAAGACCATAATTAGAACTTCTGACTCCGCATGTGTGTGTGTGTGTGTGTTTTTTTTTGTTTTTTTATATCCCGTCAAAGAAAGGAGGAACGCGGTGCTTTTGTTAACTTTATAATTACATTTTTACGCGAATACTTTTGCAAAGAGTGAGATGTTGGTAGGATGAGGATATTTTAATGATTAATTACGAAGGAACATATGCTACTTCATTAAGCGGCGGGGGATGCAATTTTCTGACGAAGGAACGCTCGCTGTTCCTAGGCGCTGTCGTATAGCGAGAAAAATGGCTGGGTGGAGCAGTTCGAAGCGCCTGTCTTCAGCGACAACGGTACGTCGTTCATCCTGATATTGCCGCAGAAACAAAAGAATGGCACCGATTGGAGACACGTTGTGCTGGTTACGAATGCAACTAGCGACAATCCGACCACCACCGCCCTAACATCCGGTTATTTTGTGGTGGCAGAGATAGTGACGTGGGATCAGGAGGGCTCGTATCTGTGAGTACAAATGCAATTATTTTGTAGGGAAAGTGAATGTGTTAAGAAAATGCGGGTGGAACACGAAAAAATTGTCGAGATCGTGAAGATATTCTTCTTATCCTAACTCTACTGTTCCACATACAATAATCGTTTTATAAAAGGAAATGACATTATCAAATTCATATATATTTTAAGCCACTTATTTAATTAAAAATATTATATAAAAAACATCATTATTTTTTTTACCAGGGCGGTTCGCGAAAGAACAAGACGAAAATTATTTACGACTTGATGCAATATTCCGAATTATATCGCTGATTTTAAAGTGTGTGTTCAAAGTGTTTTTTTTTTTTTATTTATCCGTTTGACGACACGAAAATACGTCGACGCGACTTTCGGCCAAGAATTACAAAAACATTTTCAATGCGCGAATAGTTTAGAAATCGAGGCTCGAATCGGGTCACTGGTATCGATCATTAATTAAATGGGAATCTGTATAAACGATATAATTATACGAAGCTCAGACAGGAAAGTTCTTTCAAGAAGCCAAATCAGTCCAATTACTTAAAACTTCCACGCCGGTAATCTACTAATGATCGAGCCAAATAGATTACGTTTTCACTTCCCCGGTAACTTCCCGACAATCTCAGCTTCTTTTCAGTAACTACGAATTAGGAAACGGCCCAACTCGCGATCGATTTGCCATCGACGGATAATTTAATGGAACAGAGATAATTTAATCAGTGACATACGTCGCGGTAATTTATTCGTCACCCGAGCATTTAATTACAGAGTGATGGGCGTATATGTTTATCGAAATTAACACAATTAATTCTTTAATCGAAGTTTAATCATGTACAAGAGTTTCCGGTTGAATTTGTCCACATTTATTCATCCGTAATTTATATCTTGAAAGTGCGCGTTCACCATACAGAAAAACATATTAAGGATATCACTTGGCTAAATATAGTCGCCGCAACGAAATATTGACGTTATTTTTCGTCCATGCGTACAAAAGGGAGGTAGAAACTATAGTATTCTGCATGGTTATCCCAATTTCCCTCTCCAATCGTAGAGACTGTGGTTGCAGCAATCGCACAGCAGTTTTCTCCGTCTGCGTCTTTTCGAATTCTTCCCTGGGAAAAAAGCAAGACTTCTCGTTTCGATACCCTATCGTTTCTTTGTCGGACAAAGAGCCGTTGTCACGTACATATGCGCAGTCATATTACGAGTCCTCGAGTACGAGAGACTCCGCTCGCCTCCCGGATTCGCTCATCTCGGCCGATGACGTTCGGAACGATAGCGGCGGCGCGAAATGGCTCGGAAGTAATTTACGAAGTGAAAGCAGAACTCGCGACGGTGCGGAGCTGGAAAGTTGCGTGATGTCGGCGGCTTTGGGACGAGAGAGAGAGAGAGAGAGAGGGCGGGTTGACCCCGCCTCGCAAGAAGCGGTCGACTTAATTGCGCGTTCATAAATTAAACGAGATCTCGGGGGCCGAGCGCGGCCGCCGTCTCGTCGCGCGAATTCGCTTTTTCCGCGTCTCGAAATCCGCCGGTCGATTAACGCTCGATGGAAGTGGCCGACGGGAATCGAATTACTGGCAGATCGCGCGATCAGAAGTTGGTACGTCGACGTCGTCGTCACTGAAGACGACTTCCTGCCGTGCTCTTCCCCGAGATGCCGTTAGGAAAGAACATTGGAATATCCACTCCATCTTGCAGACAAATTGCCTCCATCGGGCGTTAATGATGTCGCTTAAAGTTTCGTCGCATTGGCGTCTGGTTGCGTCGAAAGATAGCTGAAATCCAAAGCGATGTCGAGACGACGAGGATATCGAGAACGAATTCTGGTAGCTGCGGCGATCCAACGGTGTATTGAGAGCTTCGTTCTTAATCAAACGTCGTTCCTTGCTAAAACAATTCTACACAATTGCGTCGCGGGAAAATTCAAGTTGCGAACGAGGTAGAAAACGACGTTCGGAGGACTATTAGGTATGTGTAAATTAATTCGGTGCTTTCGTTACCAGAAATCAGACGCAAGAGTTCACTAACTACGGTCGCCGCTAAACCGGGACGTTAACGTTGTGCCGTGTAAACGTGCTCATTAGAAAAATCAATACTTTGTAATATCTGAAATTAGCTGTATATTAAGTTACCGAAAGGTTGCCGGGTAGTCGAGATTGACAGCACCGGTACATATACCCGCTTGACGAATGTAACCAAGTCATTTAGCTGTCCGTCGTTCTTGTTGTGTGCGCAAGATTGCCAGCATGAGCGAGCGCGAACTGTATTCCGGCAACGCGCATGAATTAATCATCGGAATGGCATAAACAGAGCACGACGTTCAGGAGTTATTCAGTGGCGTTTGCGTTTGCGGCTTGTGCGGACGACATAACGCGTTCCGCTAATCAATGCGCGGAATTCGCAATACGATCGAATTTACATATCCGAACGCATCGATATGCATATTACATGTACATACATATATATTTACACACATATACGTATATGATATATGATATCGGGCACACACACTCTGCATATCTCCAGATCCGAACAATTAATATGTGAATAATTAATATTATTCTCTTCCGAGCGTGTACGCTTCGTTCGGCGGCCTTATTTGCCGGAATATATTCTCGCTTCCGCAGGCGCAAAAAGTCTCTCGTCATTTTCGTCAACGTTGAGAAGGGTTCGAGTCGGCGACCGTAACGTTTGCTAATTAATCGCACGTGCGACGTTTATCGCGCTTGCCACTCCATTTGCCGCGTTCGTCTCTCGTTGGTCCGACTTTTTCATGTGAATTTGATCCTATCAAAAACATTCCCCTTCGATTCGAACATCGTTTTCTTATAGGGCTCCTGGGGGGCTCTATTCAGGACGCTGAATATGCCTTTCTGATTCTCAGGCTGAAACGCGACGTTGTACGCGAACTTTATAATTCCAACGTCATCGAGAGACGAGTGTAATCGCAAGATATCAAGAGCGTTAAGAACTCCGAATTAGTTCGTAACATCGAGCGTCTCGCGAACAATCTCGCTGAACCAGCCCGCTCCTCCTCGGTACGCGTCGAGCGATGTTCGTGAGCTGTTTCCGAAAACCGAGGTGGAAGCAAATGGAAATGTCAGCGTGTCAGTGCAGCCCGGGAGATAAACACCGGCCGGTTACGTCCTTATTATTCTACTCGACGCGTCGCATACCCGTTAACCTTGAACCCGCCGCGACGCGGGGATCATATACGTTGCTGTTTCTCGCGCGGCTCCTCCCGCTCCACCTTAATTTAAATAGGTTCTTCAATTGCGAGCATCCCGCGTAAATTACATCTTTCTACCCCCGTTGATTTATCATCGCACTTATTCACCCCCCCCCCCNNNNCCCCCCCCCCCTGTTTTACATATAAATGCGTATACAAGCCGCTTCCCGCGGAAAGGTTCGCGCGTCACGGGAGGCGAATTCAACAACGCCTGTCGCACACCGTGCGTCCGCGGTGTCGGATTTAATTTCACGTTTCCTCCATTTTTTGCATTTGACGCTTATCCCTTTATCTAATTTATAGCGCCGGCGTGGTGTCAACAGAGCGACACGTGTCGCTTTAATTCAGTCGCCGCGAAATAACAGCGCGAGCTGCTCCTCCACGCATGTTTCACGGGACGACGCGCGTATATCGAATGTGTGTAAACGCGCGATTTGTGTTTTACGCGCACCCCTCCGGCTGCATTCAAAATAGTCGGTCTGTCGAACCATTTTCTTAGGAATCGTTTGGAATTTTCGCCGCATATTGATGAAAGTACGCGTCTGTCAAGTTAGAAAAATGATTCGAAAGTTAAAATATTCGCAATTATAGATGACACTTTTTGTATCTCGTATATACCCTCGAGGTTGATGTCCTCTTCCTCTCAAAAAAGAAACGTCAATTTTCGCAGGATAATGTAATAAACCTATGAAATATTCCTTTAGTATCGCCACTGAAAATTCAACGGCACGGGCCATCTACCTAATTTTTGTTTCGCCGTAACCATGATTATGGAAAACGATTATGGAAGAATTCACATTTCGCCCCCCCCCCCCCTCTCCCCTCTCCATCGTCATCTAGCGCGTGTTGCCGGGGCGTTCCGTCGCCGGGACCGCGTCCTCACGATTTCAATCTCAACTTTTATAAACTTCTTAACACCCTCACGCTACGCTAAGACGGGCTCGGGCGGCCGCTTCTATCCGGCCGGCGCTGTTTAAGATTTAGAATAAACCGCTCAAAAGTTCGGCGTCTTTTCCCCAGACAGATTGGACGCGTCCTTTTCGCGCGGACGTGCTCGCCCTCACCATCCTGACGATTTCCGTCGCGGGAGGGGGAGGATTTCTCGGCTTAATCCCCGAATGCTAAGCACGCTCGAGCTCCTCTCTCCTCTCCCGAGAGGAGAGTTCACCAGTGTTATCATACGAGAGAAATCGCGCAGCTGTCACACACACCTCGATCGCGGTCCGTTTCGCTCGATGAGGATCCGATAGCCGCCGTCCTCGCTCGCTCGCGATCCGTCACGCGGCTTTAATGACCGCGATATTTAACTGGCCAACGCGCGAGACGAAATTCGGGGACGGCACGTTATCGGGGGTACCCCACCCGAGAGATAAGATGGTAACGATCACGCGGTGAATCAACGGAAACGCGACTTTTCCACGTGACTCCGGCCTCCCCTTGGCGCGATAGAGCGCGCTCGTCCGTTCGCGCGCAATTGACATTCGATCGAGGCGTTTTTCAGCCAATTTAAGCCGTCATCGATGGTATGTCGTTGTTTGCGCAGCCGTTGCTCGTCGTTTCTCGGCCCGTTCTAGCCCGCCCGGCAACAAATCACGAACGCGACGTGGCGTTCACAAAAGGACGGCCCTTCCTATCTCGTCGGCGAAACTATCGAACGTATCGACAAATATTATCGGAGCTCTCCAAGAAAACCTCCCCGGCTATTTCGCGTCGGGCACTTTCCGGGCCACGCTGTGTCCAATTGCGGGCTGTATATAACGTAAAC